CTCACTCACTCACTCACTCACTCACTCACTCACTCACTCACTCACTCACTCACTCACTCACTCCACTCACTCCACGCACTCAGTCCACTCACTCACTCGCAGCACCCAGAGCGTCCAGAAGGGCCTGCGGCGCGCGTTGTCGCCGCTGGGCCCCCCTCGCTCTCTGCAGTGGCAGGCGCAGTACCCAGAGCCTCCAGAAGGGGCTGCGGCGCGCGTTGTCGCCGCTGGGCCCCCTGCGGCTCTGTGCGTTACTGCCATTGTGATTTGCAAAGCAATGGTTGTGACAGGCTGCGAATCGCATTGGAATGGCTGCGGCCAGGATGTGCGCACACTGTGTCTGTGCACTACTGCCATTGTGATTTCCATAGTATTGGTTCTTGCCGGTTCGGACTCGGATTGTAAATGCTGCGAGAAGGATGTTTGCGAAGTGTGTCTGCGCACTGGTGCCATTGTGACTTGCAGGACCAGTGTTTGCGCGGCAAGCGAATCGCCTTGTAAATGCTGCATAGAACGCATAGAAGTTGCACTAGAAACTCGCCAGTACTAAAGGTGTTTGTTGCACTAGAAACGAGTGGATGTATTTCCACTCCACTCACTCACTCACTCACTCACTCCACTCTCTCTGCGCTGCTGCCATTGTGATTTGCAAAGAAAGGGGTCTCACTGCATGCGAATCGCATTGGAATGGCTGTGGCAAAGATGCTTACAAAGTGTCTCTGCGCGGGACTGCCATTGTGTATGAGAACGGAGAGAAGGCATTCGCAGCCGATTGTATATTTGCCTTTTCTAGTGGGATTTTAGACCAATGCTACAATGCTGCTACCAGGTCTGGGCCTTAACCTTTTTGGTTGATGGTGGAGTTCTATTTGTGTGCTGAACGTCGAGCTGGTTTTGGTTTGTAGAGAGATCGTCAAAAAAGGCGACGTGACGAACTGTGTTGAACTTCCGAATCTATACATATACGTCTAGAACAGATGTGCTTTGGTCTGTCAAGAGGTCATCACAAAGAAGAATGTTGTTGAGGTCTGTATGCTGAGAAGTGCCGACAAGTCACTGCGGCATGTTTTGATAGCATGAGTGACTCACGTGGCAATGACTGACTCAAGATAGCAAAACTGATTGTGTTTTGGAGACGGCAAGACTCACTCCAAGTGCAGTGACAGAGCGAGAGTGACCGTCTGACTGTGTGACTGTAGACGGCTTACAGCGACGCAACGAACTGTTGTCAAGCACGTCCAACAATTTTTTGTCAGTTTGGCTTTCTTTGATCTCAGATTTTATATATTGTGGATATTGCATGCTAACTAGCGACGCAACCTCAGCTACTGCCATTGGCATTTTGTTGTGTGGTTTCGGAGGTAAGTCGATGCGACGAACCGTCGGAACACGTACATTCAATTTTAGTTAGATTCTGTATAGCAGACATAACAGACATAACAGATATCTAACACAGTGCATTACATACAGCAAATACAGCAGACATCATTGAACATCTAATATGATCTAACAAACATCTTTTCAGGATACAGTGCGAGATATCTACATCCAATAAATGTATATATATATATATATATGCAACATTTTTTCCACCCGCACCTCGCCCAGCCATGGGTGTGGAAATTCGTGGCTCTGTTTATCGGGCCAGGATTAAAGTTGGCGGCGTGAGATATGTGGGTCCATCGCGACAGCAGCTGGCAGCGGCCGAAGCAGATCAGCGACAGCTGGAAGCTGCGCGTGCTGCAGGCGCTGACATGGAAGCATGCATCAAGCAGTTGTTTGCGTCCATGGAAGTTGATGCCAGAGCAGCCCGGGTAGAAGAGTGTATCGAAAAGCGCAAAGACAGTTTTCGCGCGCGTTTCCAAAAGCAAGGGCATACGTACTTTGGACCCCTTCGAACTGTGAGAGCTGAAGCATTGGAGGATGCCCAGACTTTGCTGGCAGCTGCTGACATTTTCATTCCAGCATTGCAAGCTGCGGAAACGAGATTGAAGGAGGAGAGTGGGCCGCCAGAAATGTCTTTGGAGAAGGCAGTGCTTGAAGCCATGTCGTACTGGCTGAGACAAGGTTCCACCTCGGAAATGGAAGGAGTTTCCAGGGCACTGAAGACGCGAATGCGTCGTGTGACAAAGGGTTCAGAACAAGATGCGCTCTTCGATGCGGCAAAGCTGCTAGTGAAGGAGCATCTGGAGATGGAGCATTTTGCTCAGCAAGCTTCTGCGGAATGGTTGTGGGAGAAAGGTGTGCATCTGAGGCTGGACTACGGCAGTCGCCCTCGTGACACTTCTGGTTTGCAAGATCGGTTTTGGCAGACTGGCCTGCGAAATCTGGGCAATTCTTGCTATTTGAACGCTGTTGTTCAGTGCATGGTCGCATGTCAGCCTCTGCGCAGGGATTTGTCTCAGAGACTGCGGAAAGGGCAGTTGCGGACATGCATGGAAGAACTGACGCAACGCCTGCAGAGCGAGAAGTACGATTGCATCGCTCCGTACGCTTTACTAAATCAGATCTATTTGACCAATACCGTGAAATTTCCACCTGGAGAATCGGCAGATTGCAGTGATTGCCTCGAAATCCTGCTTGAGACTTGCATCAGTGACTGCGGGTTATATGTGAGCAGTGCGGAAGCCACAGGCAGAGGGCGTAGGGGGGGGGAAGTGGATATATCAAACTAGCGCACTGCATGCGTGATGAAAGACACGTCATCTTTTAATTAAGAGTGTTTTGTCTTTGCTTGTTGAGACGCGCCGTTGCAAGTTGTGTGATAGGTGGCATCGAACACGCTGACGGTTTGTATATGATGACCAGCACGCCGATGGAAGTGGATCATCGTGCAATCACTGTGGAGGAGGTGATGCGGGCGAACTTTCCATTTGGCTGGCCGAACTCGGATGCTGTCATCCTGCAACTGGACGGCAACCGTGAGGGCGCTGCGATCGATTGGACGCAGCTACTGGCTCAGTCTGGAAGAGAGGACACGGCAAAATGTGACGGAACAAGCTTTGGTGTTAAGTTTCGTTTGGAGTAATCATTTTTTAAAAGTTCTTTGAGAGGGTGGGTTCTGAAGAATGCTCCTAGTTGCGACTGTTACCAGGACCGTCGCCATGTGTGCTACATTGTGACAGGTTTCGTAGAATTTCATGGAGGTCATTTCGTTGCTTATGTGAGACAGAAAAGCGACTGGATGAAATGCGATGATTCTGTTGTTAGTCGTTTGGCAGCTGGAGTAACCGGGAAGTGGCCGAGTCTGATTTTTCTGGAGAAACTGCGACGGCAGGCGTGAGTCGAGCCGGCGGTGTCCGCTTTGGCCCCGGGGGCCTGGTTGGCTCGGTTGCCGGGTTTGTTGGCTGCAGCCGTGACAGGTGAATCTTCGGACTGGCAAAGGCGAGTTGCTCGCAGAACCGAACTTCCAGCTTGTGGCGGGGGAAGGGCTCAAGACACACCGACACTGGACGGTGAGCAAGTTAGCATTGAAAGGTTCCTCCCGCAGACAGAATCGTGCTGGTCGCCAACAGGAACGGACTGGTCGGAGCCGGAAAGAAAATCGTACTGGTCGGAGCCGGAAAGAAAATCGTACTGGTCGGAAGCAGAAACAAAAGCGTGCTGGTCGGAAGCAGAAACAAAAGCGTGCTGGTCGGAAGCAGAAACAAAATCGTGCTGATCGGAAGCGGGAACAAAATTGCGCTGAGCGGAAGCGGGAAGAAAATCGTACCGATCGAACACAGGAATTTGTTGGCCCACGAGAGGG